AGAAGTAAATCTCCATTTATATTAAATTCTACAATGAGTAAAACTCAACCACAGTAACAGAAGTCAAATCAGTGGCAACTTGAGGTAGTAACAGGGGTAGAGATTGATTGTAAAAAGGTACAGGGAACTTTCCAGATTGAAATGGGTGTTACAATGTTTGTATACGTCAAAATTCATCAAACTGTACACTTAGGATACGTGCATATATACTGTACATAAATTATGCTTCAACAAAGTTGATCTTTAAAAAAGAGGTAAAAGTGATTAACCCAAAGGATAACAAAAAAACAAAGACCCACGAGCGCCTGGGTGGCTCAGTCAGTTAAGCGTCCGACTTCGGCTCAGGTCATGATCTCTCAGCTCATGAGTTCGAGCCCTGCATCAGCCTCTGGGCTGACAGCTCAGAGCCTGGAGCTGGCTTCAGATTTTGGGTCTCCCTCTCTCTGTCCGCTAGGCCCCCACTCACACTCTGTTTCTCTAAGATAAACAAACATTAAAAAAAAGAAGAAGAAAAGAAAAAACAAGACCTTAGGTATAAATGAGCACAACTACAGAATTGGGTTAGGACAATATAGTTGAAAATAAAAATGACCACTTAATATACACTTAATAATAGACAAAAAGTATGGGAGTATGTCATATGTCATAATGAAAAAGACCAAAAGACAAAAGCCCAAAATATGTTGACCTATGACCATTGCTACCAATGAATTATTAATTATACAATTATGTAAATATGTGGTTGAATAGTAATTATCCTGGATGTTGGAGATACAAAACAAAATGCAGGGCTTGCCTTCAAGAAACTTAGTGTCTAATGGAAGAGAAATAAAAATCATAGGCAACTTAAAGGCAGGAGTAACAGCCAGCCACAGCTTTGGATGAATATCACAGTTAGAGCTGTGGGGCAGAGAGGAGTCAAAGAAAGCTTTCCATTTCCAGATAGACTGCTGTGTAGCTGGAAGGTGTATTATTTATTTAACCATAAATATTTATCACTAAGTAGCCATCATGTGCCAGGGACTGTGTGGAGTACCAGGTATACATAAAAACAAAGTAGTAAGAAATGAGGTCTAAGCAGTAAGTGAGGCCTAATAATGAAGGATACTTTTGTGCCACGGTTTAGAGCTGGTTTGCTTTTCTCCCCCTGCCCCCCACCTTGTTTTGTTTAAATTATCTACTTTATTCAAAATACTCATCTCAACTACAAAAAGGAAAAGTTCACAAAATAAATAGAGCAAGAACATGAATGTCACATATTTAGAAGAGAAAACTAAAAAATAAGAAAAGCAGATTTATAAAAAACAAATTACAAGAGATTCTAAGTGATTGAAAAGAGAAAAACATTTTAACTATAAAGATTCAGAGGAAAGAAAAAAAAAAAGACTAGCAAAAACCCAAACACAAACTGACATAAAAGAGTCATAAAAATGGTAACACCTGGTTCTTATTATAATATTTAAATTAATAATTCAGAGGTATAGAAACACCTGAGTCTAAAATGACCAAACCTTTTATCATAGCCTTCATGTGAAAAAAATATTTGCCAAAGTAGCAACAACCTATATATTCTGATGAAAAAATTCTTCAAGAAAAATCAGACTAACAGTATTTTAAATTAAGTTTTGCTACTAATTAATTACTCAGACAGGATGCTAGGCCAGACTACATGGTGCTTCTAGTTTTTCTATATACTCTATGCATTTCTGATAAATGGGAAAAGAATAGATGACCTGGCAGAAGGCTCAGACAATAATACGTGATTTACAGGACATGAATGCAGCTACCTTAAGATTTATCTGACAGCCCTCTCCGATAGTGGACTGTTGAGTATCCGATGGAATGATTTCTAGTCTAGAAAGTCTACTACTGAGTAGCCATACACATTATTTATTTATTAGATGTTTTGGGTTGAAACCATTTTTAAATGATGCACTTCACAATGCACAGTCATAAATTTAGCTTTAAACCCAAGAAGGGAGGTAGTGTTATTGGAATGTATGTCAGACTGAATTAGGATGAGCAAAGCAACGCTTTTATAAAGTGGCCTTGAATGCAATGTCAATTCTTTCAAAAATGATATTAATGTCAGATGAGCATGATACGCTTTACACAATGCTGGAGTAATATTACTTGAAATATTTAGCATTTTCTTTAAATTCATAGAGATTTCTACAAAGTTTATCCACATACACAACAAATACCAGGCACAAAAAAGTGACATGCTTGTGAAAAACTAAATCTTAAATTGAGAATTTGTTCAATTTTCTGTGCATCAGAGTGTATACACTTTCCTGAAGAAAGTATACATCTTATTTTAAAGAAATAAAAAAAATATGTATCAAGCTTTGAAGAGTAAGTAGTTTTTGAACTATTTTATGAGATTCAATATATGAACAAACCTAATTTAATAAATACTAGGAATTTAACTTTACTCAAAAATGCAATGCTGAGTATTTCATGAAAGCTTTTCAATTCTATATAATAGTATTTTTGCCTTGACAGTGTTAAGATGTAAATGGGACAAATATGAAATGGTGTCTAATCAACCTAATAATGAATAAGTGAATACTGAAAAATATAATCCTAGGTGATCTGTTTGGTCTTAATGACAGAAAAATACAATCCTAGTTGAAGCTTTAAGAAAATACATAGTGATCTGTTTGGTCTTAATGACAGCAAACCAAATGTGATCATTTCCTCATTTCTTAAATTTAGGCTCTAATCTTTCTTTCGTAATAAAATGTGGCTAATTTATACACCTTGTTAAAAAGAAAGCAAAAAGAAAATAAGTTTTGAATGGATTCAAGAAAAATAATCAGAACATGGCTGACTGTCATGAAATTAACACCAACTAATTTGTAAAGTTTTAAATCAAATTTGCAGATGTTAAGTTCATAAGCATATCCCATTATTTATGTGATTAAAAAGGAGTTTTTGACCTGATCTTTCGATCTTTGGCACTCAATCCTCTCCATCTCCCCTTAAAAAATTAATTAAAATTTTAGCAATATGCTAGCTTTTCACTTCCCACCCTATCTCAGACTAAAAAAAATTATCAATCAAACTCAAGCCATCCCCACCCAGTATCTGCAAAATGTCAACTTCAAATTCAATTTCATATCTCTTAAGCTTTCATGTAGAAAAAGACAGTTCACTTCTTAACAAAATAAATCACTTTTGTGACTGCCAATCTGACCTCTTTGAATTAGGAAAATTCAAAGTGAAAAATGTAATTATCACCCCGGAACAATCTGTATACATCTGGAGCTAATTCTGGCTTCATTTTTCACATCATTTTTCACACTGTGCTACATCTTATAGAGATGCCATGGAACTTTTGAAGAACGCATAAAAAATGGTAAGGACTTCGATTAACCAATAATGTATTTGATTTTATTCAAACAAAAATCTTGAGAATATCTGACTTTTGCAACTTACTCTACTAACTGATCTTCATACTCTATTTGATTGGATTAGTATTAAACAGGACTGTGACATACATGATAAATAGGTGCATTAAAACATGTCATTCTTCATCGTTTTAGCTTCTAACATTCAAATACGTAATATACTATCTGAAACAGCTTTGATGTATCAAGAATCTATTCAATACTTCTAAACTAGAAAGTGGAAATTTGTTATCAAAATCCATCTATGAAACAATCATATCACTATAAACAAATTCATACTCTGTGAAGAAACATCCCAAACTATAAGGTAATGCTTCTTAAAAGTAAAGGTAATTTTGCGTTGGTTTAAAATGGTATATGGTAATTTAGATCCAAGAAATAAGCAATTATTTCAAATCAGATTAATGAAAATTTTTCTACATTAAGCTTTTAAAGCAATGGAGTTTTCTAAAGGAAATGATTAAATTATACAAACATGATTCTTGCTAAATCTAAGAATAATAAGCTCACTAGAAACATAACTACTCCTCACAAGTTCATTATAAAAATCCATTAGGGTGTAATCTCTAGAAGTAATTGTTCTTATTGCATTTTATTGACAATGCATAGTATTGATTTTTCACACCTTCTATGATTCTTTAATTTGTATTCATGAAATGTCCATCAGCACAGTCTAAATAAATTTGGCAATATAGGCACTAAAATGAATAAATCGATGCAAAGAAACATTAATTTTGCATTATCCTTATTCGTCAGGCAAGTAAACCACAAGAGTTGTAAATGAAGGTCAAAGGTTTTGAAATGGGTCAGAACCCTTGACCTCTAGACCAATACCCTTCCTATTAAAAAAGGCTATTTTAAAGTTTTAAGTAGGGGAATTTACTACCAGCAAGGTATCATTTTTAAGAGACTACAAAGAAAACTCTCAATAAAAACATTCATCTGTTTAATTGCAAAACAGAAAAGAAAAACCATCCCAGGATACATGATTTTTACATGAGTTTTCTAAAAATCATTAAAGCTTACCATATGAGGTATAAAATTTCTGAACGCTGAAAGCAATTTTGCTTTAGGAATTTATTTACTACATCTTATTATGATGGCTGCCATATTTTTGTTGACGTTTTCCCAAATCTACTCCGTATGTCAAAAATAATTAGCAATGACAAGAATTCAAAATTATTTATCACTCATTTTATAACCTCTACACAAAAGGGAAGTAAACCCATTATTCCTAGGGGAGTCAGAGTGGCACTTCACAAGGTATAGAAATAAATCTGTTTCTATAACCTTAATATATGCAGCAAAGAAATTTAGCCATCTCAAGATCATTTGCTATACACATTTTTTAATGTGACTCTAAAAACCTATTTCTCATTCATCTGTTTTCTCTCAGCACTCACTACAAAATCATCTGTTAGTATCAAACACAAGAAGTAATCCTTTTGCAATACAAATAAAATTTTAAAACTGTAAACTTAAAACTCTATTACAGCAAAAATTTCTACTGAAACATTTGTAACTTCCTTATAAAATAAATTCATGCAAGAATTTACTTTTAATCCAACATTTATTCTTATCACTCACCTGAGAACACAGTAGCATAACCAATTCCACAACTGAACTACTAGACTTCATGCAAACCAGACCTATTTTAAAGAGAATTTAAAAGAAAAATTACAAAGCATAAAACAAATATGAGGGATCTGTTATACAACTTTATCCAAACTGGTTTTTAAAATAAAATTAAACATCTTGCTAAGAACCAAACCCACACACATTTGATCCTAGGAGTAAACAAGGTACTCTGTAATTACTTGAAACTTGGTATCAAAACTACCACAATTTTTTTGTAAACTACTTCATTTCAGTGTCCAAACTACTAACACACTTATTAGAATTCCACATATAATGACATTTCACAATACTCATAGAAATGTGCACAACATATGCCATATTGATCAATATCATCTACATTTTGTTTTGGAGAGAGTTGATTGTTATACATGCAGAGAAGGGAAATGGCTCCCTGACCTTTGCTTTCTCCACCACACTCTCTCCCTTCAACCCTCTAGCTATCAATCAAGTTTCCATTTTGTTTCATGGCAGCAGACATCCCAAACACTCTTATTAGTACCTTGACCTGTGACCTCACACTAAACCTTAACAGAAGTGCAAGCATTCTCTGTTATATATTCTTGATTTCTTGTAAATAAATTCATTTACATTTTCTCTTTTCTGTTTCCTTTAGGTTCACCAAAAGTATCCCAGGAAGAAACTTTTAAACAATTAATACATATCTAAAGACTGCCTTAGTTTGATTACCAATAAAATCTAAAAAAGTACATTACAAGAACATTTTATAACCAGTATGTTAAAAAAAAAAGCAATGCCCATAATTAAAAGCATTAAATTAATACATTACTAATAATCAGAAAAATATAATTTTTTATTCTGTATTTTTTTGAACAAACACAAGTTTGGAATCCAGGGTTTAACAACTAAAGTAATTCCTGGTGGCCTCTTACACACCATAGAGAATTATCTTCTTTCTTTCTTCCCATTAAAGCTCCTGCAGGCAGCCCATTCCATCCTATTCCCTTTCTTTAATCTTCTATCTCTGTAGTTCTTCCCCCTTACCTCTTTTAGTCATGTTGGCTCATACCTGCTAATGGCACACATTGCCATTCTGTAGCCTTATAAATAGCATTCTCATTAAATAGGATATTTCCCCCCTTCGCTTTTTAGAAAAGAACCATTTTTCTCAATGGTTTGAAAAAATATTTAACATAGAAATAATGATGGTAATAGTGTTAAGCACCAGCATAAAAACTAGCCACAGAACATCTACATGTTGCATTAAGAAAGCAGGTCATTAACCAGACTAAATTATGGTTTCTGTAGAGCTTGAAATGAGCATAGCTCAGGAGGCTAATTCCAAGGCCAAAAGGAAGCATACCAATAGTCCATCTGTCATTGCTGGTGTAGCCTTCTGCTGGTCTAGAACCTTGCCACTTTCCATAAAATGTACCAACTATAGGAAGTTCCATATATTTCAACCTTAAAAGCTACTACTTCCAAAAAGGAAATTCAGATCTTTCTACAATTAGGTCATTATTCCTAACTGCTATATTCAAAGGAAACCAGAATTCCTACCAACTTTCATTTCATGGCAAAACATTTGGGCTCTGATCTGGCTCAGGCTTTGGTATCCACTCAGAAAAAGAATAATGTGACACAAAAGGCCTTGGGCCATGAAAAGTTAGAATTCATTGATTAATGAGTTGAGTACTCAATAATAGTAAAATAAATAACATTTCACAGTTTGATTAGAACAATTCATGTTTTTTGGACTGGGGATTTGTAGATTTGTAAAGGATGAGGAGGAAGACCAGGATGGATGGTATATTAAATTTTAAATGAAAATGGGCTTTAGAGGACAAATAGTCCTTTAATTATAAGTTCCCTGCTTAAGGGCAACTAATACTGTAAACAAAAATATATAACATTGAGAGTAAATAAACAAGAAACATCCCCAATAAAGGACTTGGCATCAGGTTACACAACTTAACTGTTTTTTGTTTTTTGGGTTTTTTTTTTTGCCTTTGGATGACACTGGTTTGCATGTATGAAAAAGGAATAAATGAATTATAAGCCAGTAAATCTGTCTTCAGATTTACATTCAGACTCTAATAATTATCCAAAGGAGGCCCTAAAACAACACTTAGAGTGAATTTGTAAGTTCCTGCAGAAGTATCAATTTTCATTCTGTACAAAAACACATCCTATTATCGCCCCAGTTAGCAGAAAGCAAACAAGTTATTACAGGCTCAGAGATCTGAATAGGCATATTACCTAACCTCCCTAAAAGCCTCTCAGAATAATGGTAGGGTTAATTTTGCTTGGTTTTATTTTTGGTTCATTTTTCTAAGATACGCAATTTCAGTCTCTTCAAAAAAGACAAACTCAAGATACCAAAGCCAGAAGTTTTACACTCCTCTGGAGTTTCATTACCAAAGATGACTATAATTTCTTCACCAAAGACTATTTATCCTACCTCTATTACTAGTGCTTTTCTTTACCACTAAAACTCAAAAATATTAAATGACTTACCAGATATTAAGCAAACAACATAACATTTAAACCCACTGATCTGTCTAAACTTTCAAGCAGGCAGACCATGACAAACAGTCGTGACCATCTGCCTTATGGAATGTAAGAAGCCTTATTAAAAATATACAAATTTTGGGCCACCTAGGTGGCTCAGTTAGACAAGTAACCAACTTGGGCTTAGATCATGATTTCACAGTTTGTGAGTTGGAGCCCCGTGTTGGGCTCTGTACTAACAAGGTAGAGCCTGCTTGGGATTCTTTCTCTCCCTCTCTCTGTCCCACCCCTGCTCACACTATAATACACACACACACACACACACACACACACACACACACACACACACACATATATATTATATTATACATATTTTTAAGTCATCTTAAACAATTTACAGGAGGGATAATTATAAACAGCATTAGAAATTTTGATAAGAATTTATGCATAATAAACTCAAATTCTTATTCTATATTTTCCTGCTTTTAAAGGAATTTGTATATATCCTGCATGAGCAATGCCCTTTGGATACAACTAAGTACTCCTCATCAATCTGTAAACAATATATCCATCTTGTAAACACTAATTCCAAATTTCAAATAAACTTCTAATAGGTTCTAGCTTATCATTAATTCTGGTCCTTTCTCTTGAACTTACATCATCAGATAGTTTGGAAAAGATGAATCATTCAAAATTTTGTTGAAAAGAAGACAGCCATCTTCTTTGATCCAGAATTGTAAAACATTTTCTTCTTGAGACTTTCAAACACCATTTAGAATGATCAATCCACTGAATTTTTTCATTTCTACATGAGCTTTTCCTTCCAATCATTTTCATATAACACATTTGCCTTTTTTACTCACTTAGAAACTATACCAAGTAAACTGTGGTGTATAACTATCACGAACAATGGAAGAACACAGTCACATGCCTTTTTAGCAAAATAAGATGTTCCAGGTTCTTGTCAGAAAACATTGCATAAATTTTGAAGACTGAAATCCTTTCTATTGAATGACATGCTGAGAAAACCAATTTCCTTTTTACACAGAAATATACTATGCACTAATGAATTCTGAGTTTGATAAAATTTATAAGTGCTGTTCTCTGTCTCTTTAAATTCATCCTCAGATGGTCTAATTGTAAAATGTCTTTTTCTGTCAATTTTATCACCATACCATTAGAGCAGAAAATAAACAACTCTGAATTCTTAAATTCAATGAAAGTTGAAAATCAGACCACAAAGATAATGTCCACAGAATTCTTTTACACCAATATTTCTCAATTTTTTTTCGTTACGGCTCTCCACTTGGGAAGCCATTTCAGACCATTTTTTTCTTAACTATACCCCTATGAAATTTTAATACTAAAGATGTACTCTATAGATGTATGTGGCCCTTTGGAGGGTCACAAATCATTATAATACCTAAAATGTTTTTGTCCCACGCCCCCCCCCATACCAGTTTTTGCTCTCACTGAGAAAACAAATTTCTATCTTCTAAAATACGATCATGCGCTAGGAATTTATCCAAGGGACACAGGGGTACTGATGCATAGGG